TTCATAGAACACTGAGTTATTGTTACAGAAGAAAACACGTAGTCTCTCTCATTAACATGTTCTAATGCTTGGAGGTCATAATAAAAGTAAAGATTTGTATTTAAAAAAATGTTCACTTTCACAGGGGCCCAAACTAGTTCATTGTCAGCATTTTGTAAACAGGCTGGACCCTTTCTATAAAATGACAATTCTCACTAAAGTTAAAAAAAACAAACAAACAAACAAAAAAACAACAACACACATACAATATTCTCGACCGTTTGAGCACAAGTGGGAAACAGGGTGGCTGTTTGGTAGGCATCTAGCTAGCTAACAGCACAAGCAGGTAATGTCACAGTCGAAATCTTCACTCAGTGCTCTCCATGTCAAACAATCACAAACAGATAAACTTTAATGCATAACACCACTCACAGAAGAGCCAACCAAGTCTTTTCTCCACAAAAAAGCACAACTGGGGAAAAAAGAAGCATCCCACCAAAATAAAAGCATTTAAAAAGCTAAACTTGGCTGAACACAGGGGTCGGCAACCCAAAATGTTGAAAGAGCCACATAGGACAAAAAAAACAAAAAACAAATGTCTGGAGCCGCAAAAAAATAAAAGCCTTCTATAAAACTTACAATGAAGGAAACACATGCTGTATGTATGTAGGAGACTGGACGGTCTCAGAATTGTTTGTTATTCATTCCTTTGTTGTGTGTTCACAAACTCCCCCAGAGAATTTATTTTGTGATTTCCTCGCTTGATCTTTTTATTTTGGTGCATTATTTTCGCTTTTCTTAGTGTCAGTGAAGTGATCATGAATTTCCGTTTTTCGGAGGCTGTCTTTGAACGCCTTCTCGAGTCGAACGAGAAGAGAGAAGGCACGGAGTCAGACGCAGACGTGTCTGTGTTTGTCGAGACTGTTAAAAGCATAAATAAAGTGTTACGTTTTAAAAAACCAACACCACAGCTCTCTTTTTTCGGAGCTGCAACATGTATCTATATATATTTGAGCTATATTAGCCTACTATCAAAGTCTTTTTCCATTTTCAAACATTTTTTATAAAGCATCAGGGAGCCACTAAATGTCGCCAAAGAGCCGCACGCGGCTCTGGAGCCGCATGTTGCCGACCCCCGGCTTAACAGAAGTAATACTGGCCATGATCTTCAGCAGTCATGACACTGAAACTCTTGATACCATCGTGGACACAGTCTTTTCTGCTTAGAGTGTGTGTGTGTGTGTGTGTGTGTGTGTGTGTGTGTGTGTGTGTGTGTGTGTGTGTGTGTGTGTGTGTGTGTGTGTGTTCAGTCAATATAAGACCTCCAGTGCGCACAGTGTTTGTGTATGTTTACTTGCGTGTCTAACATGTTTGGACACGCAAGTCGAGACAGAATAGCCACAGGGAATCATGTGACTCACAAGTGACCGGACAACAAATAGACTACAGTATGATGATATATACTTTCATAATTTTCCTTGAATACTGATTTAATGCCCATGTGGCACTAAAATGAAGAGCACATGTGTATGTATACAGTAATCAGATTCTGCATTGGTCTATAAGGCATGAGCAAAGATATTTGAACTCATGGTCTGTAGCAAGGATGGGGGGTTGGGAGGATTTTATGCCACAGACATTCACACAACAGTAGGAATGCCAAGATTAGTCAACTGGTAAAAACTCTGTCAACAGCTAATGCAATAGTCAAGGTCATTATTATTTTGTCAGTTTTTCAGTTTTCAAAATTGCCTCATCTTCCGCTGTTCCTGCTGCCGTTTGCCAGTTTGTGACACACATGCACAGTACTGGTATTACTGGTCATCCGTGATGTGTCATGGCAAACCGATGTTAGCAACGGAGTCTGAAAATTAAGAGGTGTTTCACCCAAAATATTGAATGCCCTGGAAACCTGCAATTCATTGCAGCAAGGCGGCGGTGATGCTTGAGCATCTAAAAAGGAATCAAGCCGTGACTAATGCCCGATTCTGACATTGGGACAGTCGTGTCTGGAAGTCAGCGTGTGTTTGATGTAACATTATAACAGTTATGTCATGTTTGGTTACGCTAACATACTGTAGCTTCTACTATGGATTACAGAGGCATTAGTCAACTCACCTTCATTAACAACCAAAACACAGCTACTGTATGGTCATAGCTGACGCTGAAACATGGACAGCACACTCGCTCTCTCACTCTATATCCTCGTTTCCTATACTCAACACAACTGTATTTATAGATCACTTTAAAACAACCACCGCTCTATACTTGTTGTACATGGAGCAAATATCATGGAGCAGCTAGGAAATTGCCTTATGCTTCGAGACAAGCGAAGTTTCTGACGCGAGGCAGTACAATGAAAGGTATCTTTCATTTAGATTTACATTTACTGGAGAGGCAACAGCACCAATGTTCCCTCTAAGCTGCGCAACTGTGCACTGGCCGCACACGCTCAGCGCACAAGAAAACCTATCCAGCACAGTGAACGCACTGCAAATGAATTAGATATATAGCTTTTTTTTCTGTATCAATTTGCTGTGTAATTCAGTGAGTGACAGGTGTCCAGCGAATCACACGATACGATGCAGTGACGCAATGCAGCCAATCACGGCATTGACAGTACTTGCGCATGTTCTCTGCTCCATAACAAGAGATAAGTTTCAATGTTTGCAAACATTGCCTCCAAGATGCGCGCGCATCTTAATGACGTCAATGTTGTTTGCAAAGACGAGCATTCTTAATTGCCTCTCACGTTGAATTTCTCCACTTTGACATTCAGAGTACTGGGAAATCACATCGTGTCATCACCCACCGTGGGCCTTCGTGATGCTTCGTTTTAATTAAACAGTCGGATTCCCCTGGTCCGCGCCAGTTCTAAACCAGCTGCTAGGCCGAGGCAACCCGACGGACGACCCCGTGCTACCACCCCCGGCCCTCCCCCCCGGAGGGGAGGAAAGCGCGAGGACAGCGGGGGGACCCGCCGAGC